AGAAAAGTTTTTTTTTTAAGATTTTATTTATTTATTTTTTATTTATTTTAGAGAGCGAGCATGAGTGGGGGGAGGGGCAGAGGGAGGAGAGTGAGAGACTCTCAAGCAGACTCCCACTGTGGAGCCTGACTTGGAGCTCCATTTCAGGACCCTGAGATCATGACCCGAGCAGAAATCAAGAGTCAGATGCTCAACCAACTGAGCCACCCAGGTGCCCCCAATCCAGAAAAGTTTTAAAGCAGGTGACTTACCTTGGTTATTTCAGAGAGAGAATTCTGGTGACTAAAAAAGTGTAAAGAGCTGCAAACTTTTCTCAGGATGTTTTCACTCACATGGAGTTACTGTGGGGTGCTATGCATGCTGGGCCTGCCAGCTCCATTCATTACCTGAGCAAACTGGGGGCCTCTGCTCACTTCTGCCTTGAGAAAGGAAGGGTTTACTGGAAGAGGTGCTGGGGAGCAGGACATCAAACCTGGAAACGGTGAAGCGATTGCAACAAAGAGGCTCCAATCCCATCAGTACCTTCCTCACCCTCTGAAGCTTAATCTGGAAGACAAACATGTTCTGTTTGTGAGCCTTGCCTATCAGAGCTTGGGGGAAGCCCAAGAGGAATGTCCTTCTGTCTTTGCCAGATACGTCTCTACTTCAAAGAGACCTATTGTATGATAGGACAACAACAAAAGGAGGGCAAGTCATTGCACCTTCTTTCCCTCTTGCTCCCAATGCCTCCTCCCTTTTAAGAACCCAGTAAGCTTGCTTCCTTCTTAGCTAATGTTCTGTCAGTCAATTGCATCTTATTTTCAACGAGGCTTACTACTGGGTGGGGTTTTTCAAACTGCAGATTTTCATCCATAAGTGGGTCCTGAAATTTTTTAAAAGACTTTATTTATTTATTTGAGAGAGAGAGAGTGAGAGAGAGCATGAGAGGGGAGAGTCGGGTCAGAGGGAGAAGCAGACTCCCCCCTGAACCGGCAGCCCGATGCGGGACTTGATGCTGGGACTCCAGGATCATGACCTGAGCCAAAGGCTGTCGCTTAACCAACTGAGCCACGCAGGCGCCTGGGTCCTGAAATTAAGCATTAAGAAGAAATACAACAGGAGGCGCCTGGGTGGCTCAGTCGTTAAGCATCTGCCTTCTGCTCAGGTCATGATCCCAAGGTCCTGGGATCGAGCCCCACATCGGGCTCCCTGCTCGACGGGAAGCCTGCTTCTCCCTCTCCCATTCCCCCTGCTTGTGTTCCCTCTCTCGCTGTGTCTCTCTCTGTCAAATAAAATCTTAAAAAAACAAAACAAAACAGAATAAAAAGTGTCAAAGTGTTCATATATGATAAAGGTAAGTATTGTTTTACACATACATAGGTACATGTGTACAGATAGGATCACAGTCCTAGAAAAGTATTTCTTACTGTGAATCACGATCAAAAAAAGTTTGAAAAGTCATTATAATAGGGCTTATTCTCCCAAGTGAGAGGGAGCAAATGAGGAAGGAGACCTGTGGTTCACACACTCTCCTGTATCAACTCAGCCCTTTATTACAGGTCTTTAATACTTAAGCTATATTTTGTAGAATGGGTGGGGGAGTTTGTGGTGTCACCTGTGGGGAATAGCTACATGTTTCAAGCAAATGATTTGGAAAAAAATCTGTGTCGGGGGGCTTTAACGAACATTCATTTTAGGGGAGGATACAAGATTTTCTAGGTTTCAAAAGAGTTGTCTTAATCTTTTAAAAAATACTTATTTATTTTAGAGAGCGAGCAAGCAGGGGGAGGGACAGAGGGAGAGAATCCTTAAGCAGACTCCCCACTGAGTGCAGAGCCCAGTGCTGGGCTCCATCCCAGGTCCCTGATATCATGACCTGAGCCGAAATCAAGAGCCAGATGTTCAACCAACTGAGCCACCCAGATGCCCTGACTTCCCTTATTCTTAAAATTTATGAGCCTTTGAACATTTTTTTTGCAGTTAATATTTAGACTTTTACTTAGGTATTTTTTAAGTTTTGGAGTAGGTGATAAGGGCTTGTGCTGAGTTGAATAGTGTCTCCCAATTAATGTCCACTTGGTATCTGTGAATGTGGTCTTATTTGAAAATAGGGTCATAGCAGATGTAATCAAGTCAAGATGAAGTCATAGTGGATTAAGGTGGGCCCTAAATGTGATGACTGATGTCCTTCTAAGAAGAGAGACACGATACACAGACATAGGACACATTACTGATAGACTACAATATGAATAGGAGTTGGGCACTGCATAAAATGTGATTTGGGGTGCATGGCAGAAAACTCAAAAGATAGAAAAGACAATTTTTTTCTATGATGGAATCGAGTCTTACTAGTTTGTCATTTAACATCTTTTTAAGGAACCTAAACCATTTTTTAGCTGTGCTAAGCCAATATTTTGCAGTACTCATCTTGCCTTAAAGATAGTCTCCTGAGACAAACCATAAGAGACTCTTAATCATAGGAAACAAACTGTGGGTTGTTGAAGGGGAGGTTGGTGGTGGGATGGGGTAACTGGGAGATGGGCATTAAGGAGTGCATTTGATGTAATGAGCACTGGGTGTTATATGCAATTGATAAATCACTAAATTCTACCTCTGAAAGTAATAATACACCATATGTTAATTAAATAAAAATGAAAAAAAAAGATGTTCTCCTGAAATTTCTTGTTATGTATTCTATCTCAAGAATTTAAAAAAAATAAGTACATACTTCCTTCATTTATAAGAATGTATAGTTTAAAAATAATCTTGGGGTGCCTGGCTGGCTCTGTTGGTGGAGCATGGAGCTCTGATCTCGAGGTTGTGAGTTCGAGCCCCATGTCAGGTATAGAGATTACTTAAAAATAAAATCTTTAGGGCGCCTGGGTGGCTCAGTTGGTTAAGCGACTGCCTTCGGCTCAGGTCATGATCCTGGAGTCCCTGGATTGAGTCCCGCATCGGGCTCCCTGCTTGGCAGGGAGTCTGCTTCTCCCTCTGACCCTCCCCCCTCTCATGTACTCGCTCTGTCTCATTCTCTCTCTCTCAAATAAATAAATAAAAAATAAAATCTTTAAAAAAATAAAATAAAATAAAATCTTTAAAAAAATAAAGGGGCACCTGGGTGGCTCAGTCAGCTAAGTGTCTGCCTTCAGCTCAGGTCATGATCCCTGGGCCCTGCTTCGGGCTCCCTGCTCAGCGGGGAGTCTCTTTTTCCCTCTCCCTCTGCCTCTCCCCCGGCTTGTGCTCTCTCTCTTGCTCACTCTCTGTCAAATAAATAAATAAAACCTTAAAAAAATAAAAATATTCTTAGAAAGAGTGTAATTATCCTAATATAAGTTAACTTATTTTCTGCATTGTTTTTTGAAAATAGCCTCCGACCTTTAATATGGAATTTAATCAACATCTGCCATTTCCAACAGATATGCCAAGAATTTGATATATGTTTGAAATCTGATGTAGCTTTCACTTCTCAGATACAGGAAGGTAAGATACAGCAAACCAAGATCCCAAATGAGAAGTTACTTGTAATTTTCTGAGGTGTCTATATAAATTAGTTTACCTCAGAGCTCCTTTCTAACATGAAACCCATGTTAACTAACATAACATGAATTAATGTGGTGTTCATGTATTTTTAAATGCATGAATTAGGGGAGAGTATTGCAGAAATTAAGTAGAAATGAAGGTTTCTTTGTGGTGAGCTCAAGAAGTAGAAAGCTAGGGTGTTGGATGGAAAATCATCTCTGACACTGGCAGGCAGGGCCAGTTTCATGGGGGTGTGACCTGGTGCACACCAAAAGCATGATCCATAAAAGAGGAAATTGAAAATTGGACTTTATTAAAAGTAGAAGCTTCTGCTCTTCAAAAGATTATTAAGAAAAAGTAAAGACAAGCTATATACTGGGAGAAAATATTTGCAGATCAAATCTATCTGATAAAAGACTTATCCATAATATATAAAGATGACTAAAATAGTTTAAAAAAACAATAAAAACGGATGAAATATCTGAACAGATACTTCACCAAAGAAAATACAAGCATATAACAGGATTCCCAACATCATTAGTCGTGAGACACCATTACTAACCTGTTAGAGTGCCTAAAATTAAAAAGACTAACCGGACCAGGTGTTGGAAGAGGATGGAGAGGAACTGGAAGTCTCAAAACTGCTGGTGGGAATGTGAAACTGTATATACCTATGTTGGAAAACAGCTTGGCAATTTCTTAAAAAGTTAAATATACACCTGTCTACTATATGCTGCAGCCATTCTACTCCTAGGAAAGTATTCAACAGAAATGGAAGCATGTGTTCGCAGGCTTGTACGGGAGTCTTTTTGATATACTTTACTGTCCATAACAGCATTATTCCTGTAAGTCCCAAACTAGAAACAACCAAAATGCCCACCAAAGGTGAATGGATACACCAGTTGTGTTATAATTATACACAGCAATAAAAAGAAGTGAAGGACTGATACATGCAACCAACCAAGGGAATGAATCTCGGAATAATTGTGCTGCGTGAAATAAGCCAGGCCAAGATGGTACATACTGTATGGTATGATTCCATTTACATAACGTTCCAGAAAATGCAAATTTATCTATTGTGACAGAAAGCAGACCCAGAGGAGACAATATGGGAGCAATTAGAAAGAGGCACAGAGAAACTCTGGGTATGACGGATATGTTGATCATTTTGCTTGTAGTAATGGTTACACAGGTGCATACATGTCAAACCTTATCAATTTGTGTATTTTAAATATGTCATTTATGTCAAATATACCTCCATGAAAGTGTTTAAAAGGTGAGTCTATCATGATTCATGTTATACATACAACCATAACCCTTCAGAATTTAGTCCTGAGTTAACTTTCTCTCAACAAAAATCAATCCATAGTCATAGCACAATCTAAATACGCATAGATTAAACAACGTCGCCTTCAGTTTTCTTTTATTCCAGTAGGGAACAGCAGTGTGCGTGTGCCTGTTTCAGGTCTCAAAGGACGCCCCGCACGAGGACGGAGAGCGCTTTAAGTGCACTCTCCGGGGGCTGACCTCATCTAAGCAACGGTCGGAGCGCCAGTCTCCACCCGCTGCTAAAAGGTGGTAAACGCAAGCAATTTCCGTGGGCGTGTGAAGGACCACCCGAGGCAAGAATCCTGCCAGCCGCGAGCCCGAGATTCGGTATCTGCCATGGAAGTCCGCCCATAGGGAGAGTAAAGAGCGCAGCAAGTGCCTGGGGCTGGGAAGGCACTGGGAATTGGGGGAGGCGGGGGGAAGAAGAAAGAACAGAAATAGACAAGGGCTCCGGCCGCAAGTCCGAAGCCGGCCCGGGTCACGTGCCAGCGCCGCCGCCGCACTGCCCTGCTTTCTGGTCCGGCGGGGCCCGCAGGCCCTGTACTTTCGGTTCCGCCCGCTGGCTGTCCGCTGCGACCCCGGCGCGCACTTCCGCTCGCCCTCTGACCCGCGGCCGGACGCCAGTGCGTTCTGCGGTACGGTCTCTCGGGGCGCGCCTTGAGGGCCAGTGGGGAGTGCGCTGTGCAGTTTCTCTCCTGCTAGAGTTTGAAGAGGCGCGGGGAAGCCACTGGGTGTCGGCCTTCCGGTTGCTGCGCAGGAGCGGCCTTAAAGTTGCGCAGGTCCAGCCCCCGCACTAAAAGCCCGGCGAAGGCTGAAGGCTGCTCGCGGGCGTGGGAGGGGCGTCGGGCCTCTCGGCGCCCTGGCGTCCGGAATGAGCCCACGCGGCGCGGGGTGGGAGACAACCCGGGGTCCTGACCCCGTCCCACCGCTGCTGTGTGGCCTGTTCCCCGGCACGCTTTCGCCCTGATCTGGGAGCCATCTAACACTGCCCGCCTTTCCTCCCCGTGCAGCCCCCCAACCATGCCCGCGGGCGTGTCCTGGGCCACCTACCTGAAAATGTTCGCTGCCAGCCTCCTGACCATGTGCGCCGGGGCCGAGGCGGTGCACAGGTACTACCGGCCGGACCTGGTGAGTGCAGGAGGGTCCATCGCTCCTGGCCCCTGGGCCATTCGGTTCTCCTCCCAGCAGCGGAAACGATCTTAAAATTAGAAGCACATCTGCCCTGAGCCTAAAGCCTGATGATGGCATTCCGTTGCGTCTAGAGCAATGCATGGCCTGTTCTTACACGGGTCTTACACAGCCAGTCACCTGCCTGCCACTGGCCTTGATCTTCTGCCATTTATGCCTCGTTCTCACTCTTGCAGCCAGTACCGGTTTCCTTGCTGTTTCTCACACTCATCAAGCCCGTCCCCATCTTCAAGGCCATGCTTTTTCTCATCTTGGAGTGCTTTTCTCCCAGATCTTGGGTTGGTTTCCTACTTCAAAATGTCAAGTCTCTGCTCAGATATCTCCTCCAGCAGTGAGGGTCCTTGGGGCAGCTCCTAAAGGATCCCTCCTTGTGCCGTTCTTTCTCAGCCCTTTGTTTCCTGGGAGGACTTGTCACAACTTGCAAGTATTTTATTCCTTTTGCCTATTTACTTGTTCTTTGTTTCCTCCACCAGAATGTAATCTCTACGAAAGGACTGGGCCTGCGTGGTTCACCCTTGATCCCAGTCACCTAGAAAAGAGATTAGAATATGGTAAATGCTCGATAAATAATTGATGAATGAAGAACGAGGGAATATCGGCATTCCAAGGAGGGAGAAATTGAAATTACTCTTAGCATTTTAAGCGTTCATTGAATTAGAACTGGGAATTAGAGGTGCTCTTGAGGAGTTACGGTCTTGCGGAGGTGGAGGCAAGGGGGTGCAGTGGAAGTAATTGCAGGCGTGTGCGAGGTGTTACGCTACAGGTGTGAATGGAGTGGTGTGGAGCACAGTGTAGGAAACAGTCGTCTCTGCCTGGACTGTGGACGGGTAACACAGAGAACCAGCCATTTGTCTTTCTGGTTTTAGTTAACTGTCAGCTACAGTTTTGGGGTGTTTATTCTTTTTTTTTTTTTTTTTTTTTTTAAATTTTATTTATCTATTCATGAGAGACAGACAGAGAGAGAGGCAGAGGGAGAAGCAGGCTCCCCGCTGAGCAGGGAGCCCGATGCGGGACTCGATCCCAGGACCCTGGGATCATGACCTGAGCCGAAGGCAGACGCTTAACCATCTGAGCCACCCAGGCACCCTGGGGTGTTTATTCTTGTTTTCAGATAAGGAAACTGAGATTCAGAAGACTGAAGGTGATTTCCCAGGATCACATAACTTCCTGGGGATTTGAAGCCCAAGCTTTCTGTTCAATGTTTCTCTTTTTTGATCCTGTTAATGGGGGTAGTACAACACCCTTGTGAAACATTCAGATTGAGTTCAGGTATGTAGAGTAGAATGTGAAAATCTACCCCTCCCCCCACTTTCTCTAGTTTGCTCCACACAGGTAGCTACAATTTTTTTGGTTGGTGTGTACTTGCAGACTTTGACTGTTGTTGAGATACACACAGACACACACAGTGGACAGGGTGTTTTTCCCCACGGAAATAGGAGTTCATAGACACATATCTCTTAAATTGTTTGTTTTGGTTAACATCTGTATAAATAGACACATGTTTATATCAACAGCCTTTTTTCTTTCTGACCATTGAATAACATTTTATAATACGGATATTCCATATATTATTTAATCTCATATTGACATTTTGGTGGTATCTAGTTTTTGTACAAACAGTGCTGAAGTAGCTCTTTCTTACCAGCCGGGACTGCTTCTCTTTTGAGTCCTAGGGATGTATCAGGGATGCTTGGAGACAGAAAGGGGTAAGAACCTTCCACAGAAATGCAGTTGAGTCACTAGCTCCTGAGGAATAGACATCAAGCAGGCATTACAAAGGAAGGAGTACCTGTGATTTGCCCCTGGGAAATTGACCTTTGATTCACCCATCTCGTTATAAGTAGGAACATGCATGGTTGTTACCACCAGCTGCCTCAACCTTGGGAAGAGGCAGCATGAAGCCAGAATATCTAGAAGGACCTTACTGAAGTGTCTCAGGCTACTTCCTCCTGATTGGGCAGTGACATCAGCAGTGGGGTACTTCTTTAGGGCCCTGAAGGCCAGGGCTGGTCGGCTGTGTGTAGGATGCTGGATGCTGAACTAACATTTAAGGAATTCATGTTCTTTTCCTGCATCTCTTCGTATTGTTCTAGCAATGACTATCACTGTTGTAACAACCGCTGGCCTTTGTTAGAGTCTTTCAGTCTTTACAGCTAGAAGGTCTGGATGGAGTCCAGAGCAGAGGAGACCGCTCCTGGAGTGTGTGCTCAGTGCTGTCTTAAGGGAGCAGGATTAAGGATGCTTTTTCTAGTTGTCCAGCTCAGCTACTCAGGATAGGAATGGAGGCAAGGACTCAAGGCAGATGTTCTGTCCTGGAGTACAAAGTGTGCTTTTGCTTGAGCTTCCCTTTGCATTTCCATTTGCTTTTGCATTACTTTTACTGGTTCTCTTTTCCTTAATTTATAATCTACTTTTTATTGAAGGCATAGTAAAAAAATGCAGTCTCAGCGATGTAGGAAAGATGTTAGGGTTTGAAGCGACGGCCAAGAAAGAATTCTTGAGATGTCTTTGGTGCAAAAAGGTGGTTTTATTAAAGCATGGACATGGGACCCATGGGCAGGAAGAGCGGCACTGGGGTCATGAGGAGTGGTCCATTATGTACTTTCAAGTTGGGACGCGGTTAGGGATAGCATAAGCCTCCCAGGTATTCGGAAACCAGGTTTCCAGGATCCTGACGGGGCTAGCTATTGTCAGGGAAAGGTCCTTTATTACTTAGTAAAAACTCAGTCATGAGACTCCTCAGATACATATCGGTGGGTCATATGCTTGGGGGACGATTGCGAACATATATCTTGGCAGGGGTGGAGGGTGGAGATAAAGGAAGTTTCCAAAGGAATTTTTATATGTTAAAGTAGACTTACAGGATCCTGGGGGTTGGGCTAAGATTGCCTTTTGCCCTGAGCAAAGTAGTAATATCAAGGCAGCTGAGTCCCTAGAGGAATGTCACTGCCTGTTTCAAAGACTTGTCAGTGGACTATAGGTAGAAAGGAAATTTAATTTTTCTTTTGCCTTTGTTTCCCACATCATTAGGATTCATTTTATTTAAAGATTTTATTTATTTGTCAGAGAGAGAGAAAGAGCACAAGCCAGGGGGTTGGGCAGGCAGAGGGGGAAGCAACGTGGGACTCGATCCCAGGACCCCAGGATCATGACCTGAGCCGAAAGCAGACATTTCACCGACTGAGCCACCCAGGTGTCCCAGGACTCATTTTAAAGTGTTCATTTTTGGTTGTCTCCAGACATACCTGCATACACAGAAATTGCTATTTAGAACCTCTGCTGACACTTAACTTTTGATGTCAGAAAACTTGTTAGTCTTTTAAAAATTGATTATATATGTAGTATATTTAGTAAAAGTGCTATTTTTCTGAAGCCCGAGAGCTAGGTTCTTGTCTCACAGAGTCGAAGGATGAATCTTGCGGACAAAGGAAAGTGAGGAAAGCAATAGAGTTTTTATTAAGCAAGAGTACAGAAAAAAAAGCTCTCAGGAGTGAGAGGGGTCCGGATATGGTTGCCACTGAGGGCTTTTAGGGTTGATTGAAGGCTAACCAGGGAGCTTAAATTTTTTTGACTTCTCTACAGGCAGCACCATTGGTTAAGGACTAGTGGTAACATCGTTAATGGCTTACTTCTTTTTAGGGTCTGGTTATTTTCTGTTGACCTCAGGAGACTGTCATAAATAAGACTACCCCCTCGGATACCTAGGGCAGGGTGGTCTGGAGTGTTCCCTTATCTCTGGTTTCCTGACACCTCCACATTTTTGGGATTTCTGTGAGCCTGATCACATAGCCCCCTGTCTCTCCCTACCTATCCCCACCTGTTCCTTACTCATTTTTTAAAATAAAAATTGAATTGTCGGGGTGCCTGGGTGGCTCAGTTGGTTAAGCGTCTGCCTTTGGCTCAGGTCATGATCCTGGGGTCCTGGGATCAAGCCCTGCATTGGGCTCTCTGCTTGGTGGGGAGTCTGCTTCTCCTGCTCTCTCTCCCTCTGTGTGCTCGTGTGTATTGGCGATTCAGGTTACTCCAAATATTTGCCTGTGTGTGTGTAAGTGGGTGGTTGTATATATATATACTTTATAGAAATTTGAAACATGCTACTCTTGTATTTTTTTAAGTTATTTTTTAAAGTTTTAATTTTAATTCCAGTTAACACATAGTGTTATATTAGTTTCAGGTGTACAATATAGTATACTGTATTTTATAGGGCTTTGTGACTTCATATAATTTCCTTTTGGGGGAAATTGGGACCCTGGGGGAAAGAGATCCCTTCTAAATTAATTAGTTTCCACAGTTTAATGATCGTGAAATAAGCTACATTCGTTCTTATCCTAAAGGGGTTGGAATGTCAAAATCCTAGGACTAGTTTTAAGGTAGGACATTGTCAGACAAGTTACTCTGGCTTTTATTCCAGTTCCCATCACTCATTTTTTTAGAAAGTCATTTTCACTTCAAAATGAGAATTGTGCTGTGAAGCATATCTCTTAGCTCCCTACCTCTCCTATGACCCCGACCCCAAACCCCACATTCTTTCCTAAACTGTTTTATTTCTTTAGGATTAATTAGTTGTTAGATGAAAGAGTAAAATGAACCAGATCAAGGTGTTTGAACTTCAGGCATTGAAAAGCTATTAGAAGTTTTCTGATGTGAGTGAAATTATGCCGGAATAATCTTGTAGTTTTTTGTTGTTGTTGTTAAAGATTTTTTTTATTTATTAGAGAGAGAGCAAGAGAGCACAAGCAGGGGGAGGAGCGGCAGGGAGAAGGAGAAGCAGGCTCCCCACTGAGCAGGGAGCCTGATGTGGGGCTTGATCCCAGGACCCTGAGATCATCACCCGAGCTGAAGGCAGACTCTTAACTGGCTGAGCCACCCAGGCGCCCCTAATCTTGCATTTTTATATAAAATGATCTGAGTAAAGATTTTATTTCTCCAATCTTATGAGCTTATATTAAGGGTCCTGAGCAAAGTCTGTTGATTTATTCATTCAGCACAGTTTTTCGCCTGCCTTTTTATAATGAGGGTCACTCCATAGGGTTGTAAGAAATAAGGAGGAGATTATGATGTGGTTCTTTTCCTCAGGACCTCACAGTGTAAGCTGATAGCTGATCTAGATCTATATCTAGAAATAGATACACCTCTGGAGACACCTGGGTGGCTCAGTCGATTAAGCGGCAGCTATCGGCTCAGGTCATGATCCCAGGGTCCTGGGATGGAGCCCCATTGGGCCTCTTGCTCAGCGGGGAGCCTGCTTCTCCCTCTGCCTGCCGCTCCCCCTGCTTATGCTTTCTCTCTCGCTCTGACAAATAAATCTTAAAAAAAAAAGAAATAGATATGCCTCTGAATCATTATGAACAGTTCCACTTGGATGTGCAGTGAGCATGTTCAAAACTGAGCTCCTGGTCTTCCTCCAACAGACCTGCTCGTCTTGAAGCCTTGCCTGTCACAGTAGATGGTGACTCCATCATTCTTGTTGTTCAGGCCAAAGCCTAGGAGTCCTCTTTAACTCCTCTCTCATACTACACATAATAGCAAATCCCACTGGCTTGATCTGAAAACTACATCCTGAATCTCACTGCTTTTCACCACATCCATTGCTACTACCCAGTTCAAGCCACTGTCAGCCATGTCTCACCTGTTTCTGTGATGGCTCCCTGACCTGTTTCTGCCTTCCAGCCTTGCCCCCCTGCAGTCTTTTCTCGACAAAGCCACTGTCCTCTTTTTTGCTTGAGTCAGGTCATGTCATTCTTCTGCTCAGAACTCTGCAGGGATTGTGCCTCTCTGCGCCCCCGTTTTTCCTCTGTCCTCGTCTCTTCGTAACCTCTCGTTGAATACCTTAGAGCAGCTGTGCTGACCACCTTGCTTTTCCTTGCACATAAGGGCACATTTCTGCCTTAGGTCCTCTGCATTTGTGGTTCCTTCTGCCTGAAACACTCCTAGATATCTGCATGGCTGGTTTTCTCATCCTCCTTCATGTCTTTGTTCAGAAGTCACCTTTTCAGACAATAAGCACATGAGAGGATGCTCAGCATCACTAGCCATCAGAGAAATGCAAATCAAAACCACAATAAGATACCATTTCATCACCACTATAATGGCTATAATTAAAAAAAAACCAAACAGCTCATGACAAGTGTCTGAGGATGTAGAGAAATTGGAACCCTCATACAATGCTGCTAGGAATGTAAAATAGTGCAGCTGCCTTGGAAAATGTCTGGCTGTTCCTCAAACAGTTCAACATAGAGTCATAGGACTGAACGATTCCACATCTTGGTTTATACCCAAGAGAAATGAAAACATAGGTCCACACATTCTTCTTGTACACAGTTCATTTAAATGGAATCTACATGTGGTCTTTTGTGACTAGTTTCTTTCACTTTGCATGTTTTCAGGGTTTGCCCCATATTGTCAGATGTATCTATACTTCATTTCCTTTTAGGACAGAATAATATTCCATCATAAGAATAGCGGGGCTCGATCCCGGGTCCCTGGGTTCATGACCTGAACCGAAGGCAGATGGTTAACTGACTGAGCCACCCAGGCGCCCCAGGCACTTAGTGTTTTTGAACAGTAATGAATTGATTTGAAATCAGTTCAAAACCAATTGATTCCTGATACTTGTTTTGTGTGTCAGGCACATGGTAGAGACTCAGTAAATAGTGCAGGAATGAATTTCAAATTGTGGAAAGCTTTATGAAGATTTGTGATCTGTCAATTAATATTGGTATGAACTCTCCCTCTGAGTCCTGTAATACTAGAGACACAGCCTGGGTAATAGAGTCATGTAAGTATAGGGTTAGAAAGGAACTGGGATGGGCCACAGGCTCTCCTAATAAGGTTTTATCATTGAGTACACAGGGACTTTTTGTTCTTTTTTTTTACTTTTTACTTTCTTTCAGGTCATGCTGAATTACAGTCTAAGAAAGCACTGGCATCTATTTGTTTTGTTTTTTTGATAGACAATACCTGAAATTCCACCAAAGCCTGGAGAAATCAAAACGGAGCTTTTGGGACTGAAAAAGAGACAACATGAACCTCAAATTTCTCAACAATAGAAACCTCAAAATACTTAACTCTGCCAAGAACTCTGTAGAATAATATAAGTATTAAACATATATTTTTAAAGTTTATTGAGTCAAACTGGTTGTCTTTAAATCTAATGCAATGCTAACTGCAAGAGGTGCCCAGGTGTTAATTGATGCATTGAGATTTAATTATGGATTGACCAGTGTATCTTGAAAACTGCCAAAGTTTGTATCATCAGCTTTTTTTTTTAATTTATTTTTTTTCCGACCCCCCCATATCATCAGCTTTTTGAATGTATTTGAATAGATACTTAATCTTGGATATCATGTGAGAAAGAATATTTATGGTGTTTCCTGCCCTTATAATTCTGGTTTATTTCTCTGAATAAGCTTGATTATCATGACAAATGGGAATTATAAATTAACTATAATGAAATTGTCATTGACAATGAAAGCTTATGGTGTGTAGTTAATAGTTCTCTAAAATTGCAAAGTGCAATTTGTACTAAACTGTGAATTAAGTTGAAATATTTAAAGTTTGAAGTTCTTTTGGAATTGTGTACTTAACAAAATTACAACAAATGTCACCTGGACTGTCACAAGTTCTTTATCCCCAAATTTGAGATACCATATTACCATGTAGTTATTCTTACTTTTTTTTTTTTTAAGATTTTATTTATTTATTCATTTGAGAGAGAGAGAGTGACAGAGATAGCGAGAGAGAGCACAAACAGGAAGGAGAGGGGGAAGCAGGCTTCCCGCGGAGCAGGGAGCCTGACGCGGGGCTCAATCCCAGGACCCTGGGATCATGACCTGAGCCGAAGGCAGACGCTTAACCAACTGAGCCACCCAGGCGCCCCTCATGTAGTTATTCTATATTTTAAAATAATTGAAAAGCTTAAATGAGCTAGCTTATGGGGCGAATTGTGTCGTCTCACCAAAGATGTTGAAGTCCTAACTCCCAGTACCTGTTAATGTGATCTTATTTGGAAATAGAGTCCTGTAAATGTAACGAAGTTAAGATGGGGTCATTAGGGTGGGTCCCTAATCCAGTTCATATGACTGGTGTCTTCATAAGAGGAAAATGCCATGTAAAGACAAACACACAGGGAGAGCGCCATGTGACAACACATCAAAAACTGGGGTGATGTAAGCCAGGGATGTCAGGGATGGAGAGCCACCACCAGAAGCCAGAAAGAGGCACGGAGGGAATTCTAGCCAGAATCTCAAAGGATGGTCCTGCTGACTCCTGGATTTTTGATTTCTGCCCTCCAGAACTCTTGAGAGAATACATTTCTGTTGTTTGAGGCCGTCCAGTTAGTGGTACTTTGTTATGGCAGCCCTAGGAAATTAATACAAATATTTCAACTCTTCCTCTGAGTCTATAAATAAAGGACAAAAGTAATTTATAGAGCAGTTGGCTTTCTATTTAGGGCAATTTTTCCAAAAGAAGTTTTTCAGAATTCTGCATTCTTAAAGATAACATCTAGGCTTGCTTCTTAGCCAGTTAGCAAATTGCTACATCACATAAATCTTTGGGGTCATTGTTGAAATCTAAAATCCTGAAGTGCAAACAAAATGTTTTTGGTTTACTTTCCATAGTAAGTACCCTTTTCAGTTTAACGGTATAAAGCAACTAACTGAAATGGTTTATTTCCAGTCTATATACAAGCTCTTTTCTGCTGCCATATTATTTGGTACCTTATCAAATTCTTCTACACATGAAGAGGATTTGTACTTCTGTGATGATGGATGAGCAGTGGCCCACTCCAGGGAAAGGTCTGGAGAACAGAGTTTTGAGTTGAGACTGGTTGTTTTCTGATATTTACTGTGACCTTTTGCATGAGACTTATTTCTCCGCATCAAATTTCATAACTGCCATTAATTGAATACTTCTTTCTTTTTCTTCTTTCTTAATTTAAAGATTATTTGAGAGAGAGGAAGAGAGCGTGCACAAGTGCAGTGGGGAGGGGCAGAGGGAGAGGGAGAGAGAGTCCCAAGCAGACTCTGTGCTAGGCATGTAGCCTGACACTGGCCAGCCCCAATCCCAGGACCCTGAGATCACAAGCTGAGTTGAAACCGAGAGTTGTCACTTAACCGACTGAGCCACCCAGGCACCCCTGAATACTTTTTTCTTTAAAAAAAAAATTTTTTTTTTTTAACGATTTTATTTATTTGAGAGAGAGAGAGAGAGAGAGAGACAGCATGAGAGAGGAAAGGGTCAGAGGGAGAAGCAGGCTCCCCGCTGAGCCAGGAGCCCGACGTTGGACTCGATCCCAGGACTCCGAGTGGGATCATGACCTGAGCCGAAGGCAGATGCTTAACCAACTGAGCCACCCAGGCGCCCCTGAATACTTTTTTTTCTTAAAAAAAATTTTATACTTTACAAATGGTGAATCTTGCCACAGCCAATTGGTAGGGTTTTTATATCAGACTGGAAGAAGTTTGACAATTTTTTTTTTTTTTTTTAGTTGAAGGAATTAAAAAATGGTTTCCAAAACTCATACTCAGTAATTCTAACTTTGGTGCCTCACTCCTTCAAATAATATGAATTCCCAAAGGTTTCAGGAAGGATACCTGATTTAGTCCAAATCAATAATAAAATTGTTTTTTTAACTCTGAACTAGTTTCATCAATTGAATTTACTAGGTGCAGTTTTTTTTTTTTCTTGGCTAAACGAACATTTACAAATTCTACTTCACTAATTCTAGTATATGAACATGAAACTGGTGAACTTCGATAATGCATTTTGTAGCTATCAGTGAGGAGAGCCCCCCACCTCCATCACTTTCCAGAATAAAGGGCTGGGGGCATTGCTCACCCTTTGGAGGAAGAAAGGATCCGGCCCCTTGGGGCCAGTTTGTGCACAGTGGGAGGTCCCTCATGCCCTGGGTGAATGCAGTGGACCATACTTTAAAGGCACTCCCCCTCGCCATCCCATACCTTTCATTTACATGTACAGAGTGACTGGTCTGGCTGTTGAGAGAAAAAGTCATGATTTGAATCCACCTCTCCTACAAGACAATGGCTTTATGAAGGCAGAAAACTGATTTTCTAGCTGTTAAAAATGTACTGAAAGTAAAAGTGCCATCATTTCAGTAAGTGCTGATTCTAATGATTCTAAGTGACTTTCACCAAGGTATCCTTTTTTGATGTTGACCCCTATTGTGAAAAATATGCATTGTGGCGGCCTTGAAAATGCATTAATAGATTCCCTGAGGAAAGGCACTGGATGCTTCTCACTGAGCAGCCTTCAGTTGTCTTGGCTTCTGCAGGGATTTTATCAGCAAGAGAGTGGCCTTGCTCAAAGCCACACCTGCCATTCAGCACAATTCTTGAGGGGCCTGTTCTAGCTCATTTCCCTCTGAGTTGACTGGGGCTCTTTGGACCTGCATTGCTTCTCACCTCCCTCTGCTCCATCCCATTTCCTTCCTTCCTTCCACAGGTGCTGATCTAAGGGCATTCCTTAAAAACATCCTGTATACTAAACTCCATTTCAGTGCTTCTTGGAGAACCAAATCTATGACTGACACAAACCAAAAATTAAAAGTAGTAATAGAGGGGCGCCTGGGTGGCTCAGTTGTTAAGCGTCTGCCTTCGGCTCGGGTCATGATCCCGGGGTCCTGGGATCGGGTCCCACGTCGGGCTCCCTGCTCCGCGGGAAGCCTGCTTCTCCCTCTCCCACTCCCCCGGCTTGTGTTCCTGCTCTCGCTGTCTCTCTCTCTGTCAAATAAATAAAAATCTTTATAAAAAAAAAAGTAGTAATAGATTATTCCTTAATAAAGCTGTGGGAAAAAACAACCCAAGATAGACCAGTTGCAAGGTGTTTGGTCATTAAATTAGGTCAAACAGTGGTTGTGCAAGATGTATATGACATAGCTGTTTTTACCCAAAACTGAGGGAGTAGGATGCTTTCTAACCTTCCTGCTGGAAACAATCTCAGAATTTGTAATTGGAGAATGCTGAGGAGCATGTTTCAGATGCTATTAATTTAATGCAATCTGATGGCTTTAATTTCTATACAGCAGTCTTTATTAAAAATGCTAAATTATGGGGCGCCTGGGTGGCTCAGTTGGTTAAGCAACTGCCTTCGGCTCAGGTCATGATCCTGGAGTCCCGGGATCGAGTCCCGCATGGGGCTACCTGCTCAGCAGAGTCTGCTTCTCCCTCTCCCGCTCCCCCCTCTTGTGCTTTCTCTCTAATAAATAAATAAAATCTTTTAAAAAAAAAAAAAGGTAAATTATGGTGGCCAAAAAATTGGCAACAAATATTATGACTAATAGCTAATAGTGTTGTATCATGAAAGGAAGCTGTCTTAACTACAGCATGTTTCCCTATGACTGAGCTCCCATTTTATTTCTTATAAAAAGGAAGATTTTTAAAATCAAGTAATTAGATTTCAAAGTGATTATTGCAAACTAACTCTAGAAAAATAGCTTGGAGGGAGGAGTAGGATACATACAACAAACAGAAATAAAAGAAGCCCAGAAAAGGGTACTAAATTATCAGGAAAATCTAGTCCCTAACACCACTTTATAGTACATAAAGTTGGTTTCCATAGAGTTTTCTCACACACATGATCTCTGAATACACAACTGAGGTTTTCTCTCCCTAGCCAGTTAAAAAATAGACTGCCATTTCAGATGGCTATCAATTAGTGAAATTAGAGAAACCTGTTTCTCCCATAAATAATACATTTCAAAAGAAATTAAATGATTGCCTGATGAGGATCATCACTCAATATCTAGTTATCTGTTGTAGGATTATGGGTATTTTGAAAGACAGCCTTATTTTGGAGTAACTCTAGATTTACAGGAAAACTGCAAAGTGAGTACAGAGGCCCCATGTCCCCTTCCTGTTTCCATGAATGCTGGTCCACGGGTCAAAGCCCAAGAACCATGAACTAGACTCGACTAAATTTTGCCAGTTTAATCCAGGCAATGAAGGCACTTAGTTGCCATGTCTCCTTCAATCTATTTGTCCTTGGTTTTGACCTTGAAACTTTGGAAGAGTACTCTTCATATGGTATGGGTTTGTCTGATGGTAGAGATGGCAGTACCCTTCTTACCACATCCTATCGGAGATACAGGACATCACCGGGGA